TAGTTATGTGTTCAATACTACTGTCGATTTTAGTTAAAGAAAATGTCTACGATACTTTTTATTATTTGTTAGTCGTATGCATCCAAAATAGATGTTTCATAATATGTTTTGTATCGAAATAGATTTATTATAGACAGAATTTTAGTGATAAACATATACATAGGGCAGGAGTTTTCTCGTTGTCATTTCTACGCATATTAAAATTCTGTGAGCCTCAAATGTGAACATACACAGTTTGAATATTATTTCTTTATGAATGGTATAGAGATTAATGAAAGTTCAGCAGTTAGAATACCAAAAAAAAAACAAAATTTCTCCTTATTAAACACATCTTTCGAAAGAATATAAAATAAATCAAAAATTATTTTAGCAAGATTGTGAGTGATGTTATATTCATTCTACAAGTCTCGCTCATATACTCTCACGACGACATTGGTCACACTGAAAAACATGTATATAGCAGTACTTGTCTAATACGAGATCGAATGTAAATAAAACTATCGTATTCACATATGGCACCAGCAGCCAAAAATAAATAATAAATTCTTTCTCACTTATAATTTTAATTCAAATAATGACTATCTTATTAAACTAGCAAAGGAACCAAAGGCTAATTATATTTCGAATATTAATGCAAATTTGAATTAGAACTGTCTAGTACACCATACGACTAAATTATCTGTACGAAAAGTCATTATTGAATTGTTTCATTCATTTTTGAATTTTCATAATACGCACTTCAATATTCAACTATATTCGAATTTCAATTAGAAAAACTCGCAATAGTGTTCATTATAATCATAAAGAAAATAAATCGAACTGATGATGTCGTTGTTGTTTTTTTTTGTTCTTGCCAGCAAGAAAAAAAAAATCGCTCTCAGGAGACCAAAGAAAAATAAATAATGTATGAAACAAGGTATCCAACGCAATGATACTGACATCACGGTATAGATGAAAAACAAACGAAAGTTGGAAAGAATAACCAGAAAATAAATGACGTTGTTGTATTTTTTCTCTTTCATTCGTTATTGACAATTATATTTTTAATTAAAACTGAATATGTGAAGTTTGTTGTTTAGTGTCAACGAAAAAAAAAACAACACTCACATTTAATATCGTAGTAAAATTTAGAAAAAGAACACAAGGCAATGACTACAGGGTATTGATCATGAAAGTAAATGTTGGCAATTAATGCAACGATCTTTCTGTACTTAGAACATTGAATAGAGACTTCTGTAGTTGTCGTTTAGTTTGTAAAGTTATTTTGTAGCCACAAAGCTTAGCTCTCGCATTGAGGCAGTTGATTCCAATCTTCATCAATCTATCCATTAATATATTCTAAAAGACACGATAATCATTCTAAGCCATCTTTGAAATATAAACATCTATTACGGGTTATTAACTTTTCATTAATCAATAGTCGTGAAAATGTGGTCTGTCACATTATGGCAAATGTTCTTGTCAATGACGTTATAATAAAAAATGCTATTTAATTAGTATCGAGAAAGTGTGACTCTTACAAATCTTTCATGGTTTTCTGTCTTGTGGATTCATCTTATGACATATCTGATCTTCTCGATGACAATCTTGTCTAGAAATAATTTTAGAACTTCAAAAGCTCTAATACTACATGAAGGTCTTCTTGATAATACCTAAATGATATTTCATGACAGCTTCTAGTATTTAGGATTCTTTGCTTAAAAGCAATAATGAATTCCGTGCATCAATACGTTATGCCTGTTATCATTGTTGGTTATGATGAATATTCGCATATGAAGTCTGTTTCAGGTTTGGTTTTACAGATGTTTCCGAGCAGCAGTATAACCCGATTGAAATATGAAATCTATTTGTCATATTCATCTAGAGATGTAAGCAGATCATTCGTAGCGCCATCAATATAGTAATCAACCAAAAAACTAAGTACTTGACTTTTGAAATTCCTCTATCTCCAGTTCTAGTTTCGGCAAGATTTTTCTCTCGTTTCTTAGCAATCTGTCCTACATCATCCTATTCTTCAATTTTCCAAATCAAGAAGACTTCTTGTCACATAAAAAAAAAGTGAATGCTCTAGCGAACTAAATCTTCAGCATTCATTCGATTTTAACGATCTTTTCAATATGATGTTTATCATACTTCGTTTATACGTTTTTCGCTACATTAGATACTTGTGAATCAAGAACGATGAAGAAAAAATGGAATGAATATAATGCAACGAACAGTATCGAATTGATTTTTAAGGTCTTTCGATTGATTCAAACTCGTCAACATGATAGAAGAAAATAGACAGCCAGTCGTAAAAAGCTTTCGATGAGATGTCAACACATTAAAAGAAAGAAGCGAATAAAGAAAAATGCAGTCTTACTTTTCTTCACCTCTCTTTTGTTTACATATTCTATCCTCGCAAATGATGATATCAATAATAAAACTGCATTAATGTATGTTTTTGTTTTGTTGGCTCGTTCGTTGTTAATCTACTTTTGTTTGTTGATCTTTCTTGTTTGTCATAGTTACATTTTCAGAAGAAACCTAACAGAATCATGAAATCAATGTTACGGCCAATTTTGTTTCTATTCGCGGAACAAAGTTCTATGTTTGTGCAAAGACATGTGACATGCACAACAATCATAGTGTTTTTTTTACTTATATCTTCAATATTACTGTCGATTTTAGTTAAAAAAATAACTGCAATAATTTTCATTATTTGTTAGCTGTATGCAAACATAGATAACTCTCCTAATAGACATTTTCTCGTTGTCATTGTGATGCACGCTAAAACTGTGTGAATCCCATTTGTGAACAAACACAATTTGAATATTATTTCTTGATGAATCATATAAAGATTAATGAAAGATCAGCAGTTAGAATATCAAAAGAAAGCAAAGTTTCTTTTTATTTTACACATATTCCAAATGAATATAAGATACATCAAAAATCATTTTAGCAAGAGTGTGAATGATGATACATTCATTCTTCTAGTCTCACTTGCACACTCTCAGAATGTCATTTACCTCATTGAAGAATGTGTCCAGAATTCAATAACCTGTTGAAATTTAAATAACAGATCAATCCTAATGTTTCAAACAAAATTGACAACATCATAGTTTGTTTACCCACAAATTGTAAACAAGGGTGTAGGTGCTGTCTCGAATATGAGTGTGGCTGTGAGTGTTGAAAGAACCGAAATCAACATCTACATCTTCCTGAAAATTCCTTGGTTTTCGTGGATTTCGACAGTTTCATGAGTGAAACTGTACTGTTGAGTGTTCCAGGAGTTTAGAACTCACTGAATTCGACTAATGCTGCTAAACAATGACTAATTTTATTCGGAATATTGATTCGAATTTCAATTAGAACTGTTTAGGACAGGATATGGCTAAATTTATTGTATATGACAAGGATAAAAATGGTTGTTCAACTATTGCTCCAATCAATATTGAATTTACTTTTCTTGTTGTTTTCTTTACATTATCAGCGTGTCAATCATATGCATTATGAAAAAAGTAAAGCAGATGACGCCGTTTTTGTTTTTTTTTCGTTCTTGACAGAATGTGAAAAGTCTTTTTTCTTTAAAAAGAATCGGCGAAAAAGTAAACAATCAATGCGACATGGTATCCAACACATTGGTTTTTAAGTGATTCTTATGTAGACGAAAAACAAACGAAAGTTGGAAAGAATAACAATGGAATAAATGACGTTGTTAAATTGTTTCTCTTTCATTTGTTGTTGACAACCATATTTTCAATTGCAACTGGGTGGAATTTGTCCTTGAGTGTCAACGAAAAAAATAATACATCTATATTTGACGTCGTAGAAAAATCTAGAAAAAGAACAGACGACATCGAATATACAAATAGAAAAGGTAGTCTCTGTCCAAACAACAATCTATCATTGGAAATACTCAATTGTCAATCAAACGCCAAAAAATGGCATCAAAAATGAGTGAACGCCGAAGACAACGAATGGCTGAAAATTACCTGGTCATCTGGGTCGACGGTAATATCAACATGGCAAATGAAGATTGCCAGAATACACTCGCACAATTGCGCGGTGTTGTTAATGAAGTCAATCCATGCACCACGGCCGAACAATGTATCCAGAAGCTCCAGGAAAACAATGAGGAGACATCATTTGTCATCTCCTCAGGTGCATTAGGTCAACACCTGGTACCAGAAATTCATGGCATGCCAAAACTGGATGGCATATACATCTTTTGTGGCAACAAGCAACGTCACCAAGAATGGGCTAAAAATTGGCCCAAAATTAAAGGTGTGCATACATCGATCAAGGACATCTGTGGAAAATTGGCATTAGCTGTCAAACAATGCAATCAAGATCAAGTAACGGTCAGTATTATTAGTGCGCATGAAGGAGGTTCTAGCGAAAATCTCAATCAGCTAGAGCCTTCCTTCATGTATACACAAATATTCAAGGAAATACTCCTTAATATGGAATATGGCCAAGAAGCCATAAAAGATTTTGTTATTTTTTGCCAAGAACAATACCAAGGCAATACCGAGGAACTCAAATTAATCAAGGAATTTGAACGTACTTATCGCCCATCAAAAGCCATTTGGTGGTATACCCGCCAATGTTTTACATTCAAAATGCTCAATCGAGCATTACGAACACTCGACGGTGATATTATCATCCGAATGGGATTTTATCTATGTGACGTTCATCGACAAATTGAAGCTTTACACACCAAGCAAATCAGTCAATATCATGGTAAGACATTTCTTGTTTATCGCGGGCAGGGATTATCAGAGATGGATCACGAAAAACTCGTCAAAAGCAAAGGTGGACTCATTTCATTCAATAATTTTTTATCCACCAGTAAAAATCGAAATGTATCCTTAGCTTTCGCTAACGAAGCCTTAGGAACAGAAGGAATGGTTGGCGTTATCTTTCAAATGACCATCGATCCTATGGTCTCATCGACTCCTTTTGCCTCCATCAAGGAGGTTAGTGATTTCGCACAAGAAGAGGAAATTCTCTTCTCGATGCACACCGTCTTTCGAATCGGTGAAGTTCGAAAAATTGATAAGAAAAGTCCACTTTATGAAGTGGACCTTAAACTTACGTCGGATGACGACCAACAACTTCGTCAATTAACCAATCGTATACGAGAAGAATCTTCAGGTAGCACTGGATGGTATCGAATGGGTAAATTGCTACTCAAAATTGGTCAATTTGACAAGGCTGAAGAATTATATACAGCACTACTAGAACAAGTATCCAACGACAGTGATAAAGCACATATCTATCATATGCTTGGAATAATGAAAAATGACAAAGGGCAATATACAGAAGCAGCTTCATTGTATGAAATGTCTCTCAAAATCTATCGAAAAAGTCTCCCGGAAGATCATCCTTCATTGGGTCCTACCTACAACAACATTGCTGTAGTGTATAACAACATGGGTGACTACTCGAAAGCACTTGAATTTTACAAAAAATCACATAAAATCTACGAAAAAGCTCTGTCTCCGAATGATCCCAATTTGGCTACTTCCTACAACAATATCGGTCAAGTGTATGAAAACATGGGTGACTACTCGAAAGCACTTGAATTCTACGAAAAATCACTGCAAATAAGAGAAAAAGCTCTGCCTTCGAATCATCCCGATTTAGCTAGCTCCTACAACAACATCGGTGGAGTGTATAACAACATGGGTGACTACTCGAAAACACTTGAATTTTACGAGAAAGATCTCGAAATCACGAAAAAAGCTCTGCCTCCGAATCATCCTAATTTGGCTATTAGTTACTTGAATTTTGCAACATGTTACGAAAGAATGGGTGATTACGCAGCAGCTCATAAGGCTCTTCGAAGTGCTTTTCAAATTCAACAACAAGCATTTCAAGAAGGTAATCCAGCTTTTGCTTCAACATATAGGTGGCTCGGAAGAGTTTATCGCAGTATGAAAGATTATCCAAAAGCCCTTGATAATTTCGAAAAATGTCTCGCAATATTTCAAAAAACGTTGTCTGAAAATCATCCATATCTAGCTCTAACATACAGTAATATTGGCGATATTCATCGATTAATGGGTAATTATGAAAAGGCACTTGTATTTCATCAAAAAGCATTAAATATTCAAGAAAATGTTCAATGTAATCCTCTGGAATGTGCAACGACATATATAAATTTAGGTGAAACTTATCGTGAAATGAAAGATTATTCAACAGCATTGACATATTATCAAAAAGGATTAGAAATACGTGAGAAGAAATTACCAAAAAATCATCCTGATTTAGCTGTTGTATATCATAATATGGCAAAATTATATTTGGCTACACGAAAATATAGTATGGCAATGAAAAATATTCAACAAACAGTTGAAATAGCTCAAGAAAAATTACCTTCAACTCATCCTCATCTTTTGGAATATAAAGAAACATTTGAAAAAATTCGAAAGAAAATGTAATTTATTTTTTTTTTGTTTACTTGCTCAATAAATTGGTTTTGATTCCTTTTCACTTCCCTACTTTTCTAGGCTCATTTTCACGCGTACGCGCGCGCGCGCGCGCGACCAGGGAGAGGCCCTATGCGTATGAAACGGGTACACACAGAGCGAACCACGCCGGACTGGTAGGGCAATGTACATAGGTGTACCGTACATAATGACGGCAGGGACCTACGTACATTAAAGGCCTTCCCGAGCACTACACTGCTTTCGCCATTCCATGACGAATAGAATCTCTCTCTGGATCAGGTTACGAAGCCACCTGACAAGGCTGTGATATAAATTGGTATCTATCTTCTAACATAAATAACATAGACTTAACATAATAACACTATACACTAAATGTGTACAACAACGAAGAAAAAAATTATTTCATCCGAAATAAATCATCTATATCTCATTCTAACATTATGTCAATGTAAGCATTGTTATGAAAATTTAATTTAGAATTGTTCTTTCAAGAAAACAAAAAAAGAAGTTTTTTTTATCGTTCAACTCTTAATTTATTTGTTCAAGTCTTTCTCAAGATACATAAGATAATTTTTGAAGCAACATGCTCAATCTTGTTATTGGTATAAATCAATAATAAATCATATTCTTTTTTAACATTCTCATGGTTTTTATAATTTCATATAATTCATAAAAACAAACAGATAAATTTTATAAACATCATAGAATAAATTTCTATCATAAATCAATATATCCTAACATATATTATCATTGTAATCAAAAACATTGTAAAAAAATATGAATCATAATATAACATCATTGAATGAATGAATGAATTTCATTATAAATTAATGCATTGTAAAGCAATGAATTTAAATAACATCATTCAACAAATTTCATTCTAAAATAATACATTTTAATATAATGATTCAATAAACATCATTGTAAATTAATACATTTTGATGCATCATAAACTGATAAATTTCATTGTAATATAATGCATCTTTATATAATATCATTCAATAAATATCATTGTAAGTAATGAATTTAACAACATATAATAAATTTCATTTTAAATTAATATATTTTTATGTAATATCATTCAATAAATATTATGGTAAATTCATGCATTTTAACATAATATTATACAATAAATTTCATTGTAATTTTATACAATGTAATGCACCATAAACTTACATATTTCATTTTAAAATAGTGCATCTTTATATAATATCATTCAATGAATATTATCGTAAATTAATGAAGTTTAACAGAACATCATACAATAAATCTCATTGTAATTTAATACATTTTTATGTAATATCATTCAATGAATATTATGGTAAACCAATGCATTTTAACGTAACATCGTATAATAAATTTCACTATAAATTGATACATTATAATGCATCGTAAATTGTATACATTTCATTGTAAAATAATGCATTTTTAAATAATATCATTCAATAAATATCATTGTAAGTAATGAATTTAACAACATATAATAAATTTCATTGTAAATTAATACATCTTAATATAATATGATTCAATGATATTCATTGAATCATATTATATTAAGATGTATTAATTTACA